AATATAATAAAAAAATAAAAACAAAATACTCTTATTTCCTAAGTTCTGATCGAAATTACATAAAAATTTATTAGTTTTTAAAATTGACACTTCACCTTAAAAAAATATTTTTTGTTAGACACGTAGGTTCAATTAGTCAATCTTTAGTATTTTTGTCAACTAACTGACATGATAAAAATAAAAAACAATTTTATCATTGATTAATTTTTATAATTACTATTATAATTTTTTTTTATTAATTAAAAAAATCTCTCCATTTGGGGAGCACCGAAACTCCTTAATTAGTGCTTCCTTTCTTTTTTTTAATATAATAATAATAATTTTTTAAATTATTAAAAAAAGAAAGGATATTTTAGTTGTTTGTACTCTTGAGATACTGTTCATTTCAAAAACTAATAAGTTTCATATAATTTCGATTAAAATTTAAAATAATAAAAAATTTTACCTAAAAAATAAATATCTATTTAAATTTCTCTTGAATAGTTAAAATTTTTTTTAAAGTATTATGATATAAAATAAGAAAAAAATACTAATTTTTTTAAAATATTATGACATAAAATATGAAAAAAAATAACTATTTTGCGTCACTTCATTTACCTTCACCTATGTAGCAAATAATTTTTGGTTCATAATTAACAACCTAGAACTAATTTATCATTGTCATTTACTACTAGTTCAGATGGGCAATTAGTTTAAATTGATAAATTTTGTCAAATTCTTGTGCAGTTGCATAAAATAATTGTTCTATATATAATCGGTTAATCCTAACTGAATAGCAATATTTAGTTTCTACATTTGCAAGCAGATTATTCAATTTATTTTTTGCAAAAAAAGGTAAAAAGGATATATGAGAGGAGATGCGGATTTGTACAAAAAATGTGGCTAATTAAGACCATAGATTTTAGTAATACCACGTGACAAGATGTTGGAAAATGAAGTAGCCTCCCTAGAGGACTGGAGAAGAGCCGAATCCAGATTTCTGCTAGCGAATTCAATTTTTCTTTGTCAATGCACTAACACGCTATTTTGCACTTCGAAATGCTCGTATTACCCATGATGGTAGGCGTATGATGTTATCCCTTTCTTCAAATTTGCTACAATAGGACTCAACTACCCCTTTTCGTTTCATATATTTCTTTCTCTGGGGGGTCAAGGGGAAAACAATAGGCAAAAAGTTTGTTTTATAACCAAAAAATAATTTATTAATTTTGTTTCATATAAAATATTTTATTCAAAAATCTAATATTTTAATTATTTAAATAAATTATCAAAAATACTTTTTATTATTCATATTATTAAATAGAAAATATTTTCTATTCATATTTTTTTTATCGATAAAAATATCAACATTCAACAATACATTTAAAATATCCTTAGCATTAAAAAAATTATAATAATATTTCATATTTTTATTTATTTATTTTTCATCATAAACTTATTTTAATTATTTGATATTATACTTAGTAAAAATAATTATAGTGATACAATACTTATGAAACGATTGAATAAAAATAATTAATGATATTTTGTTGAGAAAAAGATAATAAATAAAAAGATAAAAAATTGATATTTTATTATTTTATAAGATTAATCTCACAAGAAGAGGAAGATAATATTTGTCAAGAAAGATCAATCTCAAGATTTTGTTGGATGGATCTTGAAGAGAGAAGAAAGTGGATAAAAAAAATTGTACTCCTTTTTTAATCCAGTAAAACATTTTACATAGAAAAATCGTTCGCAAAAACTTCTCGAGTGAACGATCGAGAATACTTCTTGGACAGATCAGAAGGGATTTTTTTTTTTTTTCAAAATTGAACAAAATCTTTAAAAGGAAATGAGATGAGATGGGACCTACCCTAACTAAACCATGGGCTAAAAGCTAAAACCATGGGTTTGGTTGTCTGTCTTGTCCCCCTCCTTATCTGTATATATATCTCAAAAATGTCAGATTCTTTCCTTTTTCAATTTTGTTTCTCTTTGCAGGTAAGAATTTTCCTATGTATACAATTCAATTAGCCCAAAAGTTTCAACCTAATCCACCAACTTTAGTGGACCCCTCCATCCTCCCATCCCATCTTTTTTCACATCACCAACTTGTTTAATCGTTGATCATCAATCTGGGACCCAATATCTCAATCACATGTTCATTTTCCGTGTGAGTGAAACATGCAAGTTTGTCTACATAAAATTAGATAGAAATACCTCTTTTTTTTTTTATCTTATTTAATTTCACTCTGATTTGATCATTTAGTGTACAATTAAATTCATAGTTAACACCGTAACCAAACTATTCAATTATTCTTGACGATTAATTTCATAAAGAATATTGTTGTTAAGCATTTTTAAATCGAATCCTAGATTCCTAAATATGGGTATCTCCTTTCAAAAAGGGAGAAAAGTAAGAAATTTTGTTTCTTGGGATGACTAGGAAAAGCACTAAGCAAAAATGAGATTACGACAAGTAGTAGAATCTGCGGCCTGCCTGTCCCTCAAAGCATAATTAATTATTTTAATTGACATGGTATTAATTAAAATGTTACTAGCAAGACATATTGATTCTTAGACCCCACCAAACAACATTTTGTGACCAATTAATTTAGGTTCAAGTTGGCATAAGAACACGGGAAACGATCACTTCACCCACAGTTTTGTCACGTTAGAAGCTTAGACCGTTTATTGCAAGTTTCGAATCAAAGTTCTATAATTAAAAATTATTTAATTCAGATCATTAATGACGAAGAAGGTCTTGGAGAAATTTTAATTTAAATAATATTTTTTTATTGCTTTAAATTTGGAATATTTTCATATTTTTCACTTGAATTATTGACTTTTAAAGCTAATTATGACGTCTTAAGTGGTATTTGTCAATTCATAATCTTCAACTTTCAATCTTAATTTTTTATATAATTTTTAAACAAATACTCAAAAGGACTTGGTTCAAATTGTAAATCTTATGTATATACTAAAATTATAAAATATACAGATACATCCCATATGATTATAGACTCAAAATTTCCCTTTCCGTACTTGTCACCAACCTTTTATTTAGGTTAAATTGTGGGTAAAGATGTATGCATTGCTGCTATTTAGGAACTTTAATCATATGATTAGACTAAAATAATCTCCATTCGCATGTAACTATATTTTAAGTGATTTAACAAAACATAAATGATAATTCGTCCACTTCAAATGACAAAATTAACTCCTTTATTCTTTATTTTTGGCTAGCATCCAACATAATTGATCAACATACATAGTTATCTGTATTCAACATTAGGGAATTTCCCACACTAATTAATATTAGTAGCTGGAGAGTTGAGTGGTAAGGCAAATTTGTTCAAAATATACCAATCTTCTAAATTTAGATAAGTTGAAATTTATGAAAACTTATCTTACACTTAGGTAGCGTTTGGTATGAGGGAAGTGAAAGTATATTCCCTGTAATGTGCTCAATTAAATTACATTACAGTGTTTGTTTTACAATATACCATTGTAATGTAAAATTACAGTAAAAAACTAATACAATCATGTTACATTACACTCTGCAATATTCTTAAAGATATTTTTACCCTTCAACTTTATTATCTTATTAAAAATATTTTATAATGTTATAATTAAAATAAAAATATTAAAATAAAATATATAATATAAGAATAAAAATTAAATATAAAATAAAATATAACAATTAAAAATTAGATAATATAAGTAAAATAAATTAAAATAAAATATAAAAAATAAAAAATTATATTAAAAATAAAAATAAAAAATATAAATTTATAATAATAAAAAAATAAAATATATGAGATTCAAAATATATTTAAAAGATGATATTATATAAAAATTAATAATAAAAAATATAAATATATTAAATTTATATTTTAATAACTAAGGTAATTTTGAAAATTAATATTTCATTCCCAACAAAGTACTTGTAAATTAAAAACTGCAATGTTATCTTTTCTGCATTTTAATTATTATTTTACTTATATACCAAACACTGTCATTTTATTTTCTTTACAATAACATTGCTTACAATCACATTACCTGATATCACATTAACTGTAATCACATTGTATTGTAAAACACCAAATGCCACCTTAACGTATTAACATAATTAATCATAATCTCATTAAAATTTATACAATTTAGACGTAACTTGTAATTAGTTCTTTAAAATAAAAGTTTATTAAAATAGGTGAAAATTTTCATTATTTTTATTAAAAAATAAAAAAAAAGAACTTTTATCCTTGTCGTAACCCTCAATCTTAATTTGTAATATTTAAACTTAACATTTTAAAAATAAAATTTTTAATGACCCTGATTTTTGTTCTATAAAAAACAATCATATATTTACTAATTCAATAAATATCGAGAAATTAATTTAAATTAACCTGAAAATGCCAATGCAGATATTCATGACCAGTGTCGATGAGCACTTTTATCTATTTCGTGAAAATCATTGATATGTCCTGAAATTGACATGAATATTCATGGAAATTGGATAATTGAAATATTATTCATAATAGTTTAAACTACTTTCGGTGATATATTCGTGAACATGTTCATGAAGTTAATACTGTTTATAGTTTAATTAACTAGATATTATCATGAAATAAAATCTAATTTAAGTTTATTTAAGTTTATTTTTTTTGTCACAATAAGGTTATTATAATAAGTAAATGCTTTTCACTGCTGTTAATCAAAAATGATGAGCTGCTAAAAGACATAGAAACAAAAAACTTTGCGTGGACCCCATATCCCTCCTTCTCACGACGTCAGCCTCTAACGCTCAAGAATCATCGCCCATCTGATGGGACCCGCCATCACGTGCCACGTCATCTTTTTTTGGACTATTAATTTATCCCCCATTTAATTTGCACAAAAACAGAGGAAAGCAGAGAAAAAAATATCAAAAATAAAAACAGAAACACCCAAATTCATGGATTTACAATAATGCCCGCGTCATGCTTTCTTTCCTATAAATGGAATTGCCTCCCCTTCCATTGTTCCATTCCTACATTCGAGCCCCTCAAAAGTAGCTTCTTTTAGTTCGGAGCAAAGAAAAAAGAGAGAAAATAATATATATATATAAAAAAATCTTTCTTTTGAAGTTGGAGGATTTAGTGGGGAGGGAAAATGTTGGGAGTGTTTAGCAGTTCGATAGTGTCTCCACCGGAAGAGCTAGTGGCGGCTGGTTGCCGGACTCCGTCGTCTAAGATAACGGCAGATGCTCTGGTGAAACGGTTCCTTGAGATAAACTCCTCCGCCGTGTCCATGCAGATCGGAGACCATGTCCAATTCGCCTATTCTCACCACAAAGAGTCCGCTCTACAGCCCAGGTAAAAATATTGAAAATAAAATTAAAAACGCTATGCCATGTCGTTTTTTTGTTTGGCTATATGGTTTCGCTGCTGGATCTCAACCGTTGATAGGTGGACTAATTTGATGATAGGAGGGTTGCAAGACGTCGTGTTTCATTTTTTCCGTACAAATGAGTTAATTTAAGAGAAAAAACTAAATAGTTTTCATTAAAAACTAAATTGTTATTTCTTTTCTTTTGGTTTTTTTTCAACTAATCTCTTGCTTTTTTTCCCCCCGATGTTTTCGAAGGAACTGAGAGAAGGACTATTTAATTTACTCGGATTAATGATTTATGGCTGATGAAACGATGATTTGTTTAGAAGAGCGAAGAGTGGAAAAAACGATAAACTAACGATTACGTAACTTTTTTTTTTTTTGTTAATGAAAGGAGAATCAATAGCCAATCAAGCCATGATATGTCCGAAACTCACGTGGGATTAAATATTTAAATTTTATTTATACAAATAAAGGTATGAAGGTGAGAATAATAGATTCTAGCGTTTGGGAAATAATAAAAATGGGAAGGGAGGAGAGGTTCGATATCCCGATGGGCGGCGGCCATGATTTCACAATCACGTTGATGTTCGGACCAAACCAGATCATTCCGTGACCGTCCGATGTAGTGGTAGCGAATTTTTCAGTGGGGTCCCGTGATTCGTGCATGCGTGTCATCTGGAACCATACCAAACATGTAGGATCAAAGATTCTTCTGACCAGATTTGTCTGGAAACAGACATAGTCAATCAATTCAATGGTCCCTCTGAAATTTAATTGAACATGTGTCAAACATCTGAAAAAACTCATCAACTGATAAGTGAAGTTACTCTTGACACGTGGACGGTAGATAATTTAATTGTTACGTTATAATTAATCTTTTTACTTATATTTTACTTTTGATAAAGTAACCTCCATTATGACACTAGGTGGGTTTCTGTTTTAGCCTATCAATCAAAGCGGAGTCAATTTTGAATAGCAAAAAGGATAAGGTTTGCTTTTATATGGGGCCCAATGTTGGTCCCCTTAGTCTCAAGCCTGGATGGGTTGTGGCCTGAGGAAAAAATCATGGTCTCTAGTTTGTTGTCAGGATTTGTATTGGAAATCAATTTTCTCCCTCATAATGAAAAAATTGCCCCGTCACCAACAGCTTTCTCGGAGTAATTGTTTTACTGGCAAATTTGGGTTTGACCTCTTTTGTGAGGGAAATGGAAATTCTACTTTTCATTGAAGCATTATTGATTTCTTGTAATTAGATTAATTGATTGAGCATCCGAGGTTGTTTATGAGAAAATAGTACTGGTTGATTCAAGTCTAAATACCATAATCTTTTTACTAAAAGATCATTTGAAGTATCATTGAGTATATTGATGAAACTTGTTCATCACTAAACTTTCATGTACATATGTTACTACCCACCTTAAGTTGTATGGGTGTTAATCTTTTTTTCTTGGATGCTTGTAAATGGCAGATTATTTGCTGCGAAAGATGAAATCTTCTGCTTGTTTGAGGGTGCGCTTGACAACTTGGGGAGTTTAAAGCAGCAATATGGACTTGCTAAGTCAGCAAATGAGGTGATATTGGTTATTGAAGCTTACAAGGCTCTTCGTGACAGAGCACCTTACCCTCCCAACCATGTGGTTGGCCATCTAAGCGGGAGCTTCGCTTTCGTTGTCTTTGACAAGGCCACCTCCACCTTGTTTGTGGCTTCTGTAAGTTAATCATTTCTCACCTACTTTATCTTAAATGTCTTGGTGAGTTTAATTGCTTGCTCGGTTGGTCCCTGACAACAAGTTGGGTGGTGGTACGATTTTGACAGGATCAATTTGGTAAGGTTCCTCTTTACTGGGGAATCACGGCTGACGGATATGTGGCCTTTGCTAATAATGCTGAATTGCTTAAAGGTGCCTGTGGCAAATCTCTTGCTTCGTTCCCTCAAGGTGAGTTTACTAAAACAGTGTGCAAAAGTGTTTTTTTTTTTTTTTTTCTAGTGGACTGTTAACTTCAATTTCCCTTGATCACTCGCTTGACAATTTTTTTATTCATTTCTACAGGTTGTTTCTTCTCCACAGCTGTTGGAGAACTAAGGAGCTACGAGAATCCTAAGAACAAGATCACTGCTGTTCCCGCTGAAGAAGAGGAGATATGGGGTGCTACATTTAAGGTAACGTGATTGTCTAACAAATACATATATCTGCAACTTCGTTTGTGACTGCCTTTTCTTCCCAAATTTATGTTACTTGGTAGTTCAGACGTTGTATGTGATGATAGGCGCAAAGTTTAATCTTTTCAATAGCCGACCGTTAAAAGCATCATGTGTGGTACCAAGGGAAATTCATTCACAAGGAAGCTGGTGTAAAGCTTCTTACTGTGTTGAGTGTTGACAGCCGAAGATGAAGTATACCCTATTAAGTAAAGAGGCCTGTAACATATAAATCCTGTTTCTGTTTGTCCATTATGACATGATTATTGTTTTGTTTTGTTTTGTTTGTGGTTGCTAGGCACCATCAATTGTCCATGTGAACTAGCTGTAAAGATTTCACTCTGAGCCACACAATTCTTAGTCTATCATTACTTACTTTTTGTTTGGTGGTTTGGAATTTCAGGTGGAAGGACCAGCAGTTCTTGCAGCCACAGAGTAGATCTTTCTCCTTCCGCTCAGCACCTAAATCTATCCGTGGGAAAACAAAAAAAGCGGTTTTATGTGGTTGCAAATGCAAGGCATTTGCATTAGTCTCCATTTGAGTACCTGAGTATGACTGCTATTAGACTGGAAAGGACTGTATGCTTATGAGAGATGGCTGTAACTTCTTTGTAGGTAGCGTTATCTTGTTGTTAAAACTAGCCTTTGATCTAGCTTTCATCCATTGTACAGCCTCAAGTTCTAGTCCAATAAAAGTTTGTTTGAGGGTCCCAAATTTGTTATGATGATCAAAGTAATTTCTAGATACAGCAACCAAAATAGCCCATAACGTTATACAGCAGACCGAGCAGAGAAGCACCGACATAATTGACAAGATGAACTAACGTTTCTTTTCATCGAGTTGATTGACATTTTTATCGTTTATATTGGAAACAAGATGTCATAACAAGGGTAATCAAATTTGACAGGAAAGGGAGGTAAAACAAGCAGATTATACAAAGCGAACTCATTTATTCTAGGGACTAGGAACTGAGGAAAAGTAGCCCGCTCTAGAATACGACCCTTGATGATTCAATGATCTTAGTTGTATGTCCTGAAGTTTCATTTGTTCTGGTGCCTTATTCCTGCAACAAACACATTTCCTTCTGAAAGAACCTTCCCCTGGCTTCTTGCCCCTACGACATAGTAAGTCCAGTTTCTCTATTAGTAATTCATAACATGACAGTAGCCCCAGCTGTGGCTGAAGTGAGGCTTCCTCTGCTTTTATGAATCAAACCAGTTTCCAGTTAATCGTAACCCAGAGTTTTTTTTTTGTCAATAACGTCATGATTCGATGTAACTTGCTAGTAACATGATAGTCGAATTTTCATTTGAAAAATAGTAACTGTTAGATATGGTCACATCAATCGATTATTGAACAAACAAATGCCAATCCTTTCGAAGCATCCCTCGAAACCAAATGGCCTATCCATATCCGTTGAGAATGATCAAAAACATGGGATTGTACCATATTGTCCAGGAGAAGCATTTTCGAGCAAGATTATGTTCTCAACCATTGCAATGGCAATGCAGCTCCAGCATCCCAGTAATGCCACCTGCACATTTCTTCCCTTACTCGTTTGCGTTTAAAGGTGTAAGCAGCTTATCACTAAACTTTCATGCTTTGTTTCTTCCTAGATCAACAGAGTACTGAAGGGTCCCCACGAACAGGACTCTTTGTCTCAGAATAATAATCCGGCTGGATAACAACGATGTAGGGGCCAGCTGCACCACCGGCTAAAGTTGAAAAATGAGAACCCAAGCGCACAATTTGGAGGCTTCTTGGCAAATCCACATGGTTGAATGTATTCAATTTGTTCCTTCAAAAAGTTACCTCTTCTCCCTGTGCCCCCGTCGCCCTTTACCCCTCGCATGCCATCTTTGGATTAATTTTATTATTCAATCTAGATCATTGACATAATGATAATCTTGGCTTGGCATAAATTATGATGACGAATTGAATGAGATGCTTGTTTAGCTCCCATTGTTGATCACTCCAGGAAATGGAAAAACCACTTCTGGGATGGGATTTTGTTGAAAAGAGATGTATCTCGATAGACGGTAGGTAATGTGCTGAAGGAAGCTGAAGAATCAAATCCTACAACCTTCTTTCAGCTCAGCGTCAGATATCGAACCCAGTGTAAGAAAATCATCTAACAAATTTAGGAATTTGGATGCAATTCACTACCCATCTGGGAATACACTTTCTCTTTCCAATGACCTGGAACTTCCTTCCAGTTATATAGAGTTGGCAAAAGTTGTCTTAACTCGCTTGGTACGAGTTTGATAAATTCTGAGTGATTATAGAACTAATATCTACTCATAGCAAGAAATTCATGTGACCTATTGGAACTTACTTAAAATCCAAACTAAGCTAACAACATTTAAGAAAATTTCAGTGACCTTATAAACATGACAATCCTAAAGTCTCCGGTTTGGCATGTAACACCCGGATCGATCAAACTTCAAAGGCAGTTATCTAAGGGTACAAATTTAGATGGGTTCAACAACATAGGATCGGAAGGAGGCCTGGTGGAGTGGCAGCTTAAATTGTTAAATCCTATCCGCACATCAAAGCTATCAACTATGATCTTCTACTTACCATGGGGTCTCACACAGGCAATACATATGCTTGAGTCAATTCCGAATGCTGATCCATGTAGTCTCTATGAAGGTAAATATAATCTCATCTCACTTCTACCCAAGTTCTAAGTCCATTTGTCGTATTGGTAAAAGAAAAAAGTACCCATTGTTATTGTGTGTGTATATATATATATATATATATATATATGTATATATGTGTATGTATATATATATAAATCTAAAAGTCTGAAACATGTCTCACCAATTGAATACTAAGGGTAGTTTTTACTCGAAAAGACTTGTAATCTCTTAGACATATCTTTTTCTCCATTCTCAGCGGATACCGCATGATTGGAGTGACAGTTTGCGTCAAGATCTTGAAGATTTGCAGAAAAAAAAAAGAAAAAGGCGATACAAGTGTTGATATGGAAACTGCCTATTCGATGACATCGCCTTAGCGTTGGATTTGGTAATGCTTGCAGCCTGCTGACTGAGCCTGAATGGAAGAAACTGTCAGCAGAGGGAGGCTTTCCGCTAGCACAAAATCATCAAAATTCCAGCTTTGCAATCTATCATTGAGGGCCTATCCATACTACAGCCTCTGGGTTGTGACAGAGTGAGAAATTAACGTAAACTAACTCTATCATTGGCTTTGGGCAACATATATAGGGGGAGGCGCCTAGTGGTGAAGGTTTTCTTTAGCTACCGTTACTTTTTAAAAGAAATTAAATGTCCGTAAAGAAAAGTTTATTTACCACATGATTCGGGGTAGGTAATTCTTTCAAAGAGTCGATATAGCTCCAGCTTTATTTAACCCCAAAGTCAACATGAATGTTAACCAAAGTTAAGTTTAGGTTTAACATTAATACTTAAATTAATTAGTGACTTGTAACTCATCAAGTGTTTGGTTGAATTTATTAGATTGAGATATTTATAGCGTGACATAGGCTAAAGTACTTTATATACACAATTAATTACTGGGTATTTTTATTTTGATTTAACTCCCTAGTGCTTCTAGAATGTGGGTTGGTATTAAATCTTTATAATGCTCACTTTAGACAAGTGAAGCTCTGACTTTTTGAGAAAATGACATGTTCTTGAATACTCTACTATTACATGATTGTATTATTGGCAAAAAAAAAAAGATTATATATATGTATATAACGTAAGCATATAATTTATTGGTCGAATTACGTAACGCTTTTCCATCTCTTTTATTCTATGAAAAATACTTAAGAAAATCCAAAATTTTCATGTAAATGATGATGGAAAACGTTTTTCATTTTAGAAAAAAGATGAAGAAGAAAAATGTTTTTTCACATTAAATATCTTCTACAAAAAAGGTCATTTCTCATGAACTAAAAAAATCCATAATAATAAAAAAGTCTAACACAGTTACAAAAAATTAAAAGAAAAAAAAAATGATGAAGCCTAGAATGGAAGATGGGAATGAAAAGCAAGGGCAAAAGAGTAAGGAAAAAAAGTCAAACTGAAACTGAAAGAGAAAGTACCCATTTAGAAGTGGGGAGAAGAGAAAGTTTGGTCAGCTATTTAAACAACTCATCATCCACTCCCACACACTCTCTCTCTCTTTAATTAAACCAATTAATCTTAATTAATCCCATCCTTAATCCCTACTTTTTCTCTCTTCCACACTAATCCAAACACTTACTGCAAAAAAAAAAAGAAATCATTTTTCCATTCTCTGCTTTTGCTTTTTCTTTATGTGTATATATAGCGCTCTCGCCCTTTAACTGAATCGATCAATTTTTTTCCTTTTTCTTTTAATTTTTTTTGTAGGGTTACAGTTCTGGAATAAGATCGCTTGATCGAAGCCCAAACGACGAGCAGCAGCAAAAGGTAGAGTTGCTTTGATCATCTTTAATTTACTCTGTAATTTCTGTTTTAGTGATTTCTTTTAGTTTATGTTTTTTTTTAATTTTGGATACAATTGGTAAAGATTGTTTTTTTTTTCTTTTATTTGTACCTAAAGAAGCAGTCGAACTGCTTGCTATGTATATATGTATGTATGTAAAGTTGCAACCTTTGGGAGTGCAGTAGCTTTGCTTGTTTATGTGAACTGGTAAGTAATCTGTGTTTTTAGTTTTGGAGTTGTTGCGAGACTTGAATGATTCAAATGGATTTCGTTTTACTTTAGAATATTGGGATTTTCTTCCCCTGCTTTGGGTTATGGGTTGTGGTGATGGCTGTCGCTTTAGCGGAATTTACAAGCAAACAACACCGATGTAACTCTACTATCAATGGTGCTCTTTCTTTATCAACTGTGTTTAACCAACTTGTCCGAATTTAAGCCATTGTCCTAGCTACGACCAACAGATTCTAAACAATTGCAGAAACATTTTGACCTAGTATTACTAGTAACTTGGCAACTGGCAATGAAGAAAGTCCTCTTACAAACAAATTTACTGGCTAGGATTTTTAAAACTGAATTTTCTTTGGTTCAAAATACAGAACATGCCACATGTCTTGGTTGTCCTTAATTTTTTGTTTTTTTACCGTATAGTATGAATTGATTGAAATTGTGAAGTTGTTTCGGTGGTTTGATTGAGAATTTGAGATATAGGTTCTGTTGCCATGAAGACCAAAAGTATTCATATTCTGAGTTTTCTGGGTTCTGGAAATCTATTTTTCTATTTCTAGTGTTTTTTAGTTAGAATAGTAGTTTTTGTTATTGTGCTTGTTGAAGCAGTTTTCTGGCAGTTTATGCTGTCTTTCTGGGTTCTGGAAATCAATCTATTTGTTTTCTTTTGTAAAATGCTTAATTATTTATGTATTGCTAGGCATTAGAAGTGGTAGCATAAAGAATATCTTCCCAGTCAATCTAGACCGGTATGGATCAGCAAGGCCATGGGCAGACCTCTGCAACGGGCGTAATTGGTACTGCAGCAGCAGCAGTTCCATATGGTGTAACCGCTTATCAACCAAATCAAATGATGGGAACCTCTGCTCCTGGATCAGTTGGCTCAATCCAATCCCCTACCCAGCCAGCAGGTCTCTCTGCTTCATCAGCTCAGCTGGCACAACACCAACTTGCTTATCAGCACATCCACCAACAACAGCAACAGCAATTGCAGCAACAACTCCAGAGCTTTTGGGCAAGTCAATATCAAGAAATTGAGCAGACTACAGATTTT